TTTTAAAGATATAGAGCTGGTAAAGCCCAGCATCGGTTTTGGAGCCCAGGTCTGCCTGAACCCAAGGCTCATGTTCTTTCTATGACCCACGCTCCCCAGAGACCATGTCAAAGGGCTCAAGGAGCAATGGCTCCTGCCTGTGGGCCGTGGACAGCAGTGCAGGGATCGTGTCCGGGGCCCATGAGCCCACTTGAGCGCCCAGCACTGCCTGCCTCAATAAACTGCATTTCTTCCATATCCAGACATTACTGTTTTAAAACCAACATACATCCTGTCCTGATGAACACAGCACCCAGTCCTCTGAATGGTTTACCAAATTCATGGCAGTCATGGGAGGGAAAGCAGGGACAGGCACACGCGCTAAAATGTTCAGCATGTAACACGCTTTTTCTCACACAGGCTGTAACAGAGCCAGGTGATCTATTGCTGAGGGGGAGGAGAGAGCACAGGTCTCTTGCCATTTATAAAAAAAAGAAAGAGTGAAAAATACCTATACGTAGATGCTGGGTTTTGCATAGACTTTCTGGGAGGATGCAGGGGACACGGGGTGGCCGCTTAGCTCTGAGGAGAACTGGGGGGTTGTGAGGAAGGGACTGTAGGCAGGGGACTTTTCACTGTTTACCTTTTTGTAAAATTTTAATGAATATAAAATGTTTAAAAGACCATAGCACGAAGGTGATGCTTAACCCTCGCACACAGGACTACATTTCAGGTAAGACACTCCCGGGCCCTGTTCGATTTCTATACCTGAGGAGCCGGTGATGATAATCTCGGAGACCAGTAACTGAGCCGGGACTGAAAGGCCAAGTCCACAGAGGTGACCTAGCAAACTTGGGCTTTTTCCACAAAACACCATCATCCCTGCGTGCGGCCCGCCAGGCTCTCCCGATGCCAGGGCCTTGGGAAGTAGACCTAATGCTTGTTCTGTCTGATCCCCCGAGGTTCCTACCGTATTTCCTTCCGCTCAAATCCCCACCTGCCCCCTGGCCCTGCCCCACTCCCACGTGCACATGCACCCGCCCAGCCCGGCCACACTCACATGGACAGCACCTTCACCTCCAAGATCTCGTTCCTCAGCTCCAGGCATCTTGTGGAGTTATATTCTAAAGGGCCCTCGTAAAATTCAAAGTACCTGGGAACCAACAGGGACAGAGGTTATTATGCAGAGAAGCGGCCTGACTTTCAGGGACCCTTGTTGGGGGGGGGGGGTGTCTGTCCTTGTCAAATAAATAGAGCAAACCAGTCCCACCCAGCAGATGAGCTGGTGGAAGGCCCCGGGACTGCTGGGCCTCTGGCTCGATCACTGAGTGTAAGCATTTACGGGAGCACGACCCCACTTCAGCAAATCATGACATTCAGAAGTAAGTGGTTCCAAGTTGGTGGCTGGAAAGGGGAGTTGCTCTGGCTCTTCCTGTGATCAGCCACTGAAGGAGGCAGCACTGGGCTGGGCGGCAAGGTGGCTGCCTTCAGCCAGCCCTGCCCTTTCCTGCCCCCTCATCCTCCTCTTGGGAACGTGTTACACAATGACAGCCACAAGCATAGCTGAGACCCACCGCTTTTCCCCCGTACAAGCATTTCCATCTCTGTTAGCTCACTTGATTCTCATGCTCGCACAGTGACTAGGTGAGACTGACATTTCTTTCTCCCCATTTGGCAGCTGGGAAAACTGAGGCTAAACAGCTGGAGCCCCAGGTCCCACTGTCAGTGTGGGGCACGGCCAGGCTTGGTCTAGATCCCACTGCAGAGGGGCCCAAGCCCCTCCAACACCAGCTGGCTCCAGGCATGTCAGAGCCACCTCAGGGTCCCTTCAGCAGCTTCATGCAGAATCACAACTCCAATTTCAGCCAGTGCTTGCTGAGCCCTTACCACAGGCCCAGTGCTGGGCCCAGCACTTGACAAGGAGGCATCCACTCTGATCTTTATAACTAGCCCCCAAGGAAAGGGATGCCATAAGCATCAGAACAGGCTCCAGGATTTAACTCACTTGCCCAGAGTCGTGTAGATAGCAGGTGGCAGAGCTGCACCATGAGCCTCAAGGCTGCTCCTGTCCACTCACCTACAAGGACACCTGGTGTCCCATGGGCACTGCTGAGGATCCCTTTAAGGCCTCCCCTTCTCACACCCTGGAAGGAAGGGCATCCATCACCTGACTGGGGGTGGGGAGGGATGAGTTATGGGGAAGGTTCCCTTGAAGATAAAACATAGTGGTTCACTGCTGGGCTTGACCAAGGAGGCAGGGTGGGGCCTCCCGGGCAGAGGCCAGGTGACCCCCTCCTCATGGCCTCCGTCTGGAGGTGGTGCAGAAGAGACCGGGCAGATTAAGCCCGGAGGCTGGGCGCATGGCAGCCTCAGCTCCTCAGAAGAGAAGCCTGCAGGGTCAAGCCACTCTAAATGTGGGACCATTGACCTCGCAGTAGGGAGCCCTGGAGAATCAGAAGTGGGAGAGGTGCCCCAGGACTGCTCCCGGGCCCTGCAATCCATGAGCAAGGATTTAAAATACAGACATTCCTCAGGCATTTCCCAGAAACCCGTCGGCAATTATTGCTTGTGTTCTCACGTGTCCAACTTACATGTGCAAACTTATGTACGGCTGCTTTAGAGATACTACATCAGTTTACCCAGTAAGTTGGTGTCTTTTAAAAATATTTGTATGCTAAACAACTTTTAATTTCATATTTAATACTTTAAAACATATTCTGTTTATAAATATGTGTTATTTTTTATTTTAATCAAATTTGACAGTTAATTTTAAAGCATAACTATATATTTAAGTATTTTAAAATGTTAGAACAAAATATTTTTAAAATAACATAAATATCATTTCTTAGTTAATTTAAAAATATATTCATAAATATGTTCTTAATAATTTTAATACAGCAATAGTTAATTTGACAGTACTGTAATTATATATTTAAGTAATTTAAAATTATACTTCAAAATATGAAAACATTTTATACAACAAATTAGCTCCTACTTATAAAATAAGTTGGCTCCTTGTTCTTGTATCATAAAAGAATTGAAGTAGAGTTCATAAGAATTAGGCATTTGGGATCCCCAACATATCACACTCACTTTTTTCTCTCTGTTTCCCTCATGTTTCTGAACTCCCTCCTCTGTTGTTCTCACCCAGCAAACTCATATTAATACTTCAGTACCCACTTTAAATGCATCCACTTCTGGGAAGGCTTCCTGACCATTACCTCCATCATCTTCTGTACACTGTCTTTTAATTAGAGCAAATAATACTGTATTAAAATAGTCTGTTTATATATCCATTTCCCTTCCAAACTGTAAGCATGCGAACTGTCTTTGCTATCTCTGTACCTTCTGTACTACAGAGGCAGGAAAGCTAAGAACTATATTTCCCAGACTCCCTTGCAGCTAGGTCCTGGATAAAGTTGAAGTTCAATCATTCAGAAGCACTTGCACAAGACTGTTATTGGAGAAGAATGACAAGCTGGTGCAGAATGTGGCCGAGATGGCATGGCTCTTGGAAACTGTAGTGGTGGCAGCACTTTCATGATTCTATCGGAGGCAGCAGCTTTCACAGTGGCCTCATTTCACAGTGTAATTAGGGGAGGCAACTCTGGAAGCTCTGCCTCGTGTCTGTCTTCGGAACTAGTTGGACCCTTGATAAATCCTTTTCTGTTTGAATTAGTTAAAAAGGATTCTGTTATCTGCAACTAAGAACAAGGAAGAGGTCAGCCTGGGGCCACGAAAAATGTCCATGACCTTGGCTTTAATTCATGTCGTTTTCCAGTCACACAACACAAAGTGGGGTCTGGTATCTGATTACAAAGATCATCATTCGCAACCAGAGCCAGTGGCACCAAGCCCTTTGGAATCCACTGGGTCATCCAAAGCCATGATCTCAGGCTGCTACCAGAAAAGCTCCCGATTCAAAGGATGCAGGAGGTCGTTAGGAGGAGAGAGATGGGAAAGCTGTGGACACATCTTGGATATGCCTCTAAACCAGCTGTGTGACTTTGGGTAAATCACTTCCCCTCTCTGGGACTCTGCTTTCTCCTCCTTAAAACAATCTGTTTGAACTAGGTGATATCTAAAGGCCCATCCAGCACTAAAATTCGATACCAAGCTTCCCCAGAATTTCCCACTCACTAATCAAGGCAGATCGATACTATGAATTAATGGTCCACACACAGGAGGAAGTTAAAACCAATCAGCCCCCTCCCTTCGATCAGCTAGCCCCTCCATTGCCTCCATGAGACCATCCTTGCCTTACCTCCATCAGCCTCCATTGGGCCTCCTTTTCTCCTGAATCCCCAACATCATTCATAAGAAACTAGACAATGATCCCAAATGGTCAACCTATGAACCCGGAGGTCACGGTTCAATTCCCAGTCAGGGCACATGCCTGAGTTGCGGGCTCAGTCCCCAGTATAGGGCGTGCAGGAGGCAGCTGATCGATGAGTCTCTCTCATCATTGGTGTTTCTCTCTCTCTCTCTCCTTCTCCCTTCCTCTCTGAAATCAATGAAAAAAATATTTTTTTAAGTGTAGCACATATGTAACAGGGTTTAGACAAGATATTGATGATAATTTCAGGGAAAATGGTAGCAAATGCCAGGAACACAGGAAGTACCCAATAAATATTCACTCCCTTTCCCCCCTTTTCCTGCTACTAAAGGGCAAGAACTGAGAGTGGATGCCCAGGGAGAGAGTCAGACACTTGCTTACAGTCCCTCAGCTGGTTGATGGCAGAGCTGAGTCAGAGATGAATAACTCAGGAAGTTTCTCCACCGTCTGCTGCTATTAGTAACCCTCTCTCCTGCACCCTGTGAATAAAGCCCACACTGAGCTCTGCGTGGACGTGGGGATGTCCTTGATCACCCATCTCTGCCGCAGATTCCAGTCACAGAACTGTGTTTCTGATGCTTTGACGTCGGGACATGCTGACTCTGGGGAGACTGCCCCTCCCAGGGCTTGCCTAGAGGTTCCCTGAGATAATAAAGGACTGACTCAAGCTTCCCCTTAACCTGTGAACACACCTTTCACATGCACACCCACCAATACTGAGCTCATACCCCACCCCACCAACTTCTCTCACACTCAGGGCTACTATCCCAGGTGCCTGAAGACACTCCGGGTGGTACCTAAGTCAAAATCAAAACTGCTCCAATGGCTGGGTCTAGAGCCTCCAGGGTTCCCATCTGAAAAATGGAACTAATAGGCCTTGCTTCCTTCTCCATCCTACCTGGGCTTTCCTTTGGGGGAGGGGAGCTCTACTGCTCCATCCGTCTCTAAAGACGACTGACCTGAGGAAATAAAATTGCCAGAAGCACGGCCACACTAATCACCTCTAGTGTGCTTCTGACAGACGCCCAAGGACTGCGTTCTGGAGGGGCCGTGGAAACCCCTGTTTGGTCTGGATATAGCCCATCATGCAGACATCAAAAGTGAGGCTTCCATTTTTTGGTGTAATGACATAGGAAGAGGCTCACATGATAACACTGAGTGGGAAATGCAAGTTATAAAACTGTGGTTTTATAAGAAGAATTACATACACATATGTGAATGCATGGGGAAGTGGGGAGCTGTAATAAAATATTAATAGTGGGTTTCTTCGAGTGGTTTTAAAAAATACTTTTCTGGCCCTGGCTGGTTTAGTTCAGTGGATAGAGCATTGGCCTGCAGGTCCCAGGTTTGATTCCGGTCATGGGCACGTGGGTTGCGGGCTTGGTCCCCTGTAGGGGGCATGCAGGAGGCAGCCGATCAATGATTCTCTCTCATCATTGATGCTTCTATCTCTTTCTCCCTCTCCCTTCCTTTCTGAAATTAATTAAAAATATATATTTTTTAAAAATTAAAAAAAGACTTTTCTGTAATGGAGTTATGACTCTTTTATTATTGGGAATCACTAGTAAATGCCCTTTTATTTTAAGTCCTAGATCTCCCTTGAAATTGTTCTAGCTTCCCCTTAACCTGCTAGAAGACTGGGAGAAGCAGTTTCTCCAACCTTCTTAACGCCATTAGCCTCTCAAGGTGAGTTTGTCACTGTCTCTTCTTTCAATTCAGGAAAGACGATCTCTGTGCAGCTCGAAGGGGAGGGGGCCCTGGCATCCCATTCGGGCACCTCACTGGTATAAATAGTTCCCGCCCGCCAGATCAGGAGC